CTGGTAGCAATTTTCCATCCTAATGCACATATCCTAGCTGTATTTAGCTCACAAACTTTGAACTATTTTTAAGTCTTCTACTCTTTGTGATCGTTCATTTATTGGTATTCGTGCCTTTTGCCAAAATATGATAACTTCTTGTATAGTTAATCTAGCACTTTCGCTTAACCATAACCACAAGCATGGTAAAAAAGGGCTTTTAATACTTCCCTATTAGATGGTAATTTACTACTAGTTAACCTACTAGAATGATAACCAACAAGGTATATATTTTTACACAAACTTAAAGAAGACATCTCGGTAACACTTTTTAATGTAATCACTTTGAATTAATCACTACGATAAAATATTATAAAACTCACTCCATATTCCAAGAATAACACAGAAACTCATTTATGTATATAACTATCCAAATGTTGGACTTATTTTGTAGCAAATTTAGTAAACAACATAGGTACAATCATGTGGGCAAACGCATTCATAGAACTGATTTATTCAATCGGGTGATTTCAGCTAATTATATCTTTTATTCAATAACTATTAAAAATACAGAAAAACTTTGTATGAGTGAATTGTTTATTTTTACAGATCTGATCTATAACTTCTATAATAGATCTATAACTTTTAGGAAGATAGTTTCTATGTAAAATTAAATATGTCGGAGATACCATTTACAATTATCCAATGGAACTAAAATTTTACACAGATTATTTTTTAAGTAAAATAAACCGATCTGTGGGGGTGCCGCGGGCAATTTTCCGACTTTTGAAAATTAATGGCACCCTAGTATACATATAACAGTATGAGAACTTGTAAGAGATTTGACTAGTAACTGTTTTATTTTATGTCTGAAAAAGTTTACCTAACTTCCAGGACTCCCAAAAAAAAGTTTATTGCGATAATGCGACAAATTTTGTCGCAGCAGATCGAAAGTTGAAAGGGCTGATGTAGGCATTCCGAGAACATAAGGACCATCTGGCATATTAAGCACAAAGGGGGCACTGACTTTAACTTCATACCAACCAGAGCACCTTATTTTGGAAGATTATGGGCAGCGGTAGTCAAAATCAACAATCAACACCGTGCGCTTTTTACCAGCAAAGAACTGCAAACGGTGCTCATCGCGATAGAAGCCGCGCTCAATTCCAGTCCACTCAGACCATTGAGTCATGACCTAAACGACAAAAAGGCACTAAAATCAGCGCAGCTGGTAATAGAGGGTTCTCTTCACACGTCACTGCAAGAATCTGTGCAAGGCGTCTCCGACAACAAATTGAGAATTTTGAAACGATGGTGTTTGTTATGCGAGCTGAAACGGAGGTTCTGGCTAGCCTGATCAAAAAAATTACATCCTTCCTGTCTCTCATGCCGAAATTTGAACCGACATATTATTTTTTCTCTCACTGTCAATTTTATAATTTACCTCTGTGGAGGGGTTGATGTAATTAAAACAATAAAAGCTTGAAACGCAGCAACGAATCGCGAGATATGAAATTGATAAAATATATAGACCGTGAGTTGATCTAATTTGAGTTCTAATTGAGAGAAATTCTAAATTGTTCCGATAATGTAGTGAAATGTTTGTACTCGTATTTTCGTATTTAGAATATTATCAACGTGACTAAATCGAGCCTAAATAGAAAAGTCGCCAGTTTAGCATGAAATTAGAACAATTTGCACACGCCCGTAGTAACCAATAAAGGGCCCATTAGACAGCAACGATCGTTGTCAACGCGCGCTTGCCATTACACAAACAATTTTTTAAAAATTTTTTAAACACGCCCCAGATAAAACAACAAATATACTAAAAAATTGCTCTCACATGAGAATTTTTTCTCCTACTTATCTCCTACTACTTTGTGAAATGCGAAATTTGTTTGTGTAATAGTAACATTTGAAATTTTAAGAAATGTGTTGACGAAAATCAAAAAATTTTGATATTTCTTCAACCACGCTCGTGTTTTTGCATATACAGTCGGATTTGGTCGGCATGCAAAATTTAATTTATTTTGAGGAGTAGAAGCGTAAACATCGTTTAAATGCACGCATGATTCGTCGTTAGCAAGCGATCCTTTGCAAATATGAATGAATTGTATCTTTTATTTTAAATATTTGTATTTTCTAAATAGGTAAAATTTTTTAATTTCCAAAACATGTTATTAAGAAGATTAAAATATTAATAACCTTGGGCTAAAAAAAAATAACTAAACATTAAGTTACAATGAAAATTTTGTTTTAAATATTAATTGCATTGTGCATTTACGGAAAATTTGTTATTAAAATATACCAAAAAAAAAAAATTAAATTATATAAAATATAATATATATAAAAATAAATATATAAATTGAAATCATAAAAATAAATATAAATATATATATTAAAATTATAAATTAAATATAGAACATCATTTTTCGTAAGGAAATTACACATAGCAGCCGCTGTTGACACTTCAGCGATTGCTTTAATACTGATGAGTAAACAAATTTTGCATTGTTTGCTGGAGGCGTGTTTAAAAAATTGTTGGTAAATTTAATGTGTAATGGCAAGAGAAGACTTCGTGCGTTTGTCAACGCGCGTTGATGTCTAAAGGGCCCATTAGACAGCAACGTTCGTTGTCAACGCGCGCTTGCCATTACACAAACAATTTTTTAAAAATTTTTTAAACACGCCTCAGATAAAACAACAAATATACTAAAAAATCGCTCTCACATGAGAATTTTTTCTCCTACTTTTCTCCTACTTTGTGAAATGCGAAATTTGTTTGTGTAATAGTAACATTTGAAATTTTAAGAAATGTGTTGACGAAAATCAAAAAATTTTGATATTTCTTCAAACATGCTCGTGTTTTTGCATACACAGTCGGATTTGGTCGGCATGCAAAATTTAATTTATTTTGAGAAATGGAAGCGTAAACATCGTTTAAATGCACGCATGATTTGTCGTTAGCATGCGATGCTTTGCAAATATGAATGAATTGTATCTTTTATTTTAAATATTTGTATTTTCTACCTAGGTAAAATTTTTTAATTTCCAAAACATGTTATTAAGAAGAATTAAAATATTAATAACCTTGGGCTAAAAAAAAATAACCAAACATTAAATTACAATGAGAATTTTGTTTTAAATTTAATTGCATTGTGCACCTACGGAAAATTTGTTATTAAAATATACCAAAAAAAAATTAAATTATATAAAATATAATATATATGAAAATAAATATATAAATTGAAATCATAAAAATAAATATATAAATTAAAATTATAAATTAAATGTAGAACATCATTTTTCGTAAGGAAATTACGCATAGCAGCCGCTGTTGACACTTCAGCGATTGCTTTAATACTGATGAGTGAACAAATTTTGCATTGTTTGCTGGAGGCGTGTTTAAAAAATTGTTGGTAAATTTAATGTGTAATGGAGAGAGAAGACTTCGTGTGTTTGTCAACGCGCGTTGATGTCTAAGGGCCACTTAAGGGCCACTTAACAATAACAATAGGCCTTTTCGGTGGCTCGCAAGTACGGCAAAAAATGCATGTTGGCCTATGTTGGCCACGCGAGTCATTGGCATCACTGTTGTAATCTGTCAAATGTTTTGTTTTGACAAACAGCAAATCTTGTATATGTGCATATAAATCAAATATATTTTTATAAAAATATTATAAAATTAAAATGAACACGTAATTAAAAGGAATGGTAAGAATATTGGAAATTTAAAAATAAAACACTAAGATAAGTAAATTTTTTTAGGTACTGTCGATGTAGGGAGAAGAAAGCAACGTTTTGCAGCGGCCGAGGAATGCAAGTTATTTCATGTATTTTTTAAATGTTATAAATGTTCGTGTCAAGTAGCACTCTAGAAAACACTTCGTTTCCTTTGTGGTCCATAGTTTGCGTATATTTCTATAAAAAAATTTTTTAGAAAAACTTCAAAAATTATGTTTGTTTTATTAATTTTACGTATGTAAACTACAAATTAAATGAAATAAAATAAATGTTACTTGGTAATAACTAACATAATAAAAAATTCAATGTGCTTAATACTTACGATTTCTCTATTCTTATTATTTCTTCGTTACTTTTCAAGATTTTTCAAATTTTTGAATTCTGTTTGAATTTTTATTTCCTCAATTTTTGACATTTGATAGCACTATTCGTTGGAATTTTCAATGAAGGTTCACAATAGTTCGCTTATTGCGTTGGTAACATTTTTTTTTTTACTGGCCGATGTGGTTGGCCAGCATAGGTAGAGAAAATAGTGTTGTTGTTTTGCGTACATTGCGGCCAGTATAGGCCTGCATAGGCCAACAACTTGCTGTTTTTTGCCGTACTTGCGAGCCACCGAATACGCCTAATAGACATTTTCCTTGGCTCACAGTGGCTGGGTGAAAACGCTGCATATGTACGCAAAACAACAACACTATTTTCTCTATCTAGGCCAGTAGTTGTATACTGGCCACATACTTCGGCTAGTGAAGAAAAAAGTGTTACCAACGCAATAAGCGAACTATTGTGATCCTTTATTGGAAATTCCAACGAATATTGCAATCATATGTCAAAAATTATATATAAACAAAAATTTGTGTTTTATTTTGAAATTTCCAACATTTTTAGTAATCCTTTTCATTTTGTATTCCTTAATTATTTTCAATTTTTGTTAATTATTTATTATTATAAAAAATGTAATTTGCTTGCATTATGCTATTTTTGCTATTTGTAAAAACATAACAGTTGACAAATTACAACAGTGATGCCAATGTCTCGCGTAGCCAATATAGGTCAACATGCATTTTTTGGAATACTTTCGAATACATGAGAATATTTATTCGTTCATAAGCATTCGCTTTGGTGTTGATGCACCTTTATATAATTTAACTCTAATATAGCAATCAAATAAATGAATGTAATGAATGTCATTCATGTTTGCGTAAAATCACGATGGATGCAAGTATTTATTTATATAAATGTTACCCTGTGCCAATTTCGTTATCAACATTTTTTTGTGTTAATCTAGTTACGCGTGTGATAGTTTTCATTTATTTTTTGGTTTATATTTACTTTTTCAACGTAAACAGTTTAAAGTGGACAAATAATGGGAGTTCCGGCATTTTTCCGTTGGTTAAGCAGAAAATATCCAAGTGTTATAATTGAATGCACTGAAAATAAGGTAAAATATTTAAAAAATATAAGTAGTGTGGTGTTAAAAATGCAATCTAAATGTGGACGCGTTTTTATAATCTTCATTATCGTAGCATCGTATGGCGCATGTTTATGCATATTTGTTTTTGACAGTTCAGAGTGCTAGCTTGAAAATTCTTGAATACATTTTCACGATGTTTCCAAACGATTTAAAAAAATCAAATGATCAAAAATTAGGTGTAAATTTCTGCATTACATCCGCATGATTAATTAGTGAGCTCTTTACATAAATTCAACCTTATAAATCATGATAGTAGAGTGATTTTCAAAATTAATTGCAGAACATAACTAAACATTGAATAAATTTATAGTAAAGTAATGTTATTTCTTTATTTATTATTTAAGAATAAAAGAATATAACATAAAAACACAGAAATATTTATATAAAATTTTGTGTATTTCGTATTTTATTTAATCATATAAAATATATTCTCTAGAACAAAAATAAAATAGCCGCCAGTGGAAAAACAGTGTAATTTCCAAAAGTTGTAGTATGACTCGTGCAATCCCAATGTCTTAGTAATCCGAATTGAACACAATTTTAAATGATTTAGATTAATGGTATTTTACTGTTTTCCCAAACCATGTCTTTACTACATTTAAACCAATATTTTGCTAGAATTTATTTTATTTGGTAACATATTTCGAATGATTTGAACAACTTGTGGAGTAAACGTTTTCCTTTCAGGTTATTTAACAAGTCAACGAAAATGTTTTCCGGTATTAGAAGAAGTATATATACACTTATATATAAAATATGAGATTACAGATGCATCGACTTGTTTTCTTTGATTTTTAATAGATGTATTATAATAATAATAAAGTTGTGTGATAATATTTATAATTATCCCTCGCAACTTTCTATGTAGATATAATTGAATTTGTGTTATCGAGGAATTAAGAGATACTATTTAGAATGATCGCCAATGACTGTTGCTATATTACACATATCTAGGCAAACTTGACATTGCTTCTCTAAATTATAAGTGAAATAAAATTTTTGCCTTACCATATAGCGGATTCGAATTCCGACAAATCTCGTTCATATGCTTTACACTGCTAGTGTCTAGTTTGGGATCCATTAAAATGTATTTCCTAAATAAATTTGTTTATTCTTAATATTTGTACAATATAATTCTTCACACATATCATACAAGAAATAAATGTTTAACTTCTTTTTAATAATTTTATTTTTTGAAGTCTATCGATACAGAAACTGGAAAGAACACTTATGAAGATGCTACATTACCGAATCCAAATGGTGTTGAGTTTGACAACTTATATCTGGATATGAATGGTATAATTCATCCATGCACTCATCCAGAAGATAAACCTCCGCCCAAAAATGAAGATGAAATGATGACAGCAATATTCGATTGCATTGATAGAATTTTTGGTATTGTAAGACCTCGAAAGCTTTTATATATGGCTATTGACGGAGTTGCACCACGTGCAAAAATGAACCAACAAAGATCAAGACGTTTTAGATCGGCAAAGGAAGCTGTTGAAAAACGTGCAGAATTATGTAAACTCCGGAATGAACTGATATCAAAAGGTATACAAGATGATATTTAAACAAAAATATTAATTTGAATTATTTTAATAAATATGTAGGTTATGTCCTCCCACCGGAAAAAGAAAAAGGAGAGCATTTCGATTCTAATTGTATAACACCTGGCACACCATTCATGGATAGATTAAGTCAATGTTTACATTATTATATACATGATCGTATGAATAATAATCCCGCATGGAAAGGGATAAAAGTTATTCTTTCTGATGCTAATGTACCTGGAGAAGGAGAACATAAGATAATGGATTATATCAGAAAGCAGCGAGCTCAACCAGATCATGATCCCAACACTCAACATGTACTTTGTGGTGCTGATGCAGATCTTATAATGCTTGGTCTTGCAACACATGAACCTAATTTTACTATAATTAGGGAAGAGTTTTTGCCAAACAAACCGCGCCCCTGTGATCTTTGTTTGCAATATGGTCATGATATGGACAAATGTGTAGGTTTAAATTCTGCAGATATTTCAAACATCAAAAATTTTCAGCCTGATGTTCCTGTTGGAGCAGAAGTTAAATTTATCTTTGTTCGATTAAGTGTATTACGTGAATATTTAATGAAAACTCTTTTAATGCCTAATCTGCCTTTCAAATATGTATTTGAACGAGCTCTTGATGATTGGGTTTTTATGTGTTTCTTTGTTGGAAACGACTTTTTACCACATTTACCCAGTCTTGAAATTAGGGAGGGAGCGGTTGATCGCTTAGTTGAACTTTATAAAAAATGCGTTTATAAGACTGGAGGTTACATAACTAATGCAGGTCAAGTAGATTTATCAAGAGTACAATTAATTTTAACTGATCTAGGAAACTTGGAAGATCAAATATTTAAGGATAGGCAACGGAGAGAACAACAATTTAAAGCTAGAGAGAAGATGAAATCTAGGCGTGAAGACGAATTTCAAAATAGGAATTTTGAAAAATCTGTCTTTGGTCCTTCTCCAGTGGGTCCAGGAAGTTCAAAGCCACAGCTTATAACAAACTATAAAAGCGAAGCTGCTTCTTTAAGAAATAGTGAAACACAAGGACAAATTCGAAAACGGTCTGCTGTAGATGCTCAGCTTGATGATGATGAAGATGATGTCAATGATGAAGTTCGATTATGGGAATTTGGTTTTAAGGATAGATATTACGAATCAAAATTTGACGTTGCACCTGAAAATCATAGTTTTAGGTATTCGGTTGCTTTGCAATATGTTCGTGGTTTGTGTTGGGTACTTAAATATTATTATCAGGGGTGTGCATCCTGGAAATGGTATTTTCCTTATCACTATGCACCATTTGCATCGGACTTTGTAAATATTGTTGGACTATCGACTAATTTCGAAAGAGGTACCAAGCCTGTAAGTAATAATTTCAATAAAAAATATTTATATTTACATATATTTATATATATATATATATATTTATATATATATATATATATTTATATATATATATATATATATATTTATATTTATATATATTTACATTTGCATTTATATACATTTATATATATATATAAGTTTAAATGCTTATATACAATTTTGTATTTATTATATTCTGTCTGCATCCTGTGAAAGTTATTATTATTGTTATTAGGTCAAAGATTGAACACAACAGTTCAATATATGATATATTATTCCAGAAACTCTTTGATGTAAATGATACGTTGGATATAGGCTTGCATTGAAATTTTCTTTAAAATTTTTACGTTTTATTCAGAACAATTTACGATAAACTATTTTTCAAGTTATGACTTAGTTCTTGATATGAAAATAAAACGCTTCTTGGATCTTATCTTTCAAAAGCAGCTTTAGTATGTGACCAAACTCTTAAAGATTCAACAAGTTTTCAAAACATCTAAAAATACCAACAAAAAAAAATTTAATAGAATTAAATTCCATTCTTCATTCCATTTATTCTAAGGTGATTGGTATTTGGAGAGATACATTTTATACAAAAAGTGTGATGTAATTTATATACACGTACTTATTATATAAAAAGCATGTTGTCCTTATTAACTAAAGGCTTTTGTTCATGTATAGAACATGAATCCATTCAATAAACTTATTGATTTTTAGATGTTTTAAAATTTATTATTTAATAAGCCTATTTGTATTAAGCAATTGAATTTAAGGTAGATTCAATTGTAGCTGTTTATGCTAGACTCCCGCAATTAACGTTATCTTCCTTAAAATTTTTTTTAGATTGTAATCTTTAAATTTGAATGACATTGTTTTGATTTATGAATTAACTTAAAAATTCAAATTAAAATTTCCTTAGATATGAGTATTATTATAAAAGTATCATAAATAAAATATAACATATACAATTAACATTTAATATTAAATTTTAGTTTAATCCTTTGGAGCAGTTAATGGGAGTATTTCCAGCCGCAAGTAGTTCTCATGTTCCAAAACCATGGGCAGATCTTATGTCAAATCCAGTAAGTACTATAAAGTAAATCATTGATGATTTTCTTAATATATATATATTTTCTTTTACTAGTTGTACAATTTTAATTTTTTTTAAATAATATAAACATAATTTTATTTTTGATCTTACAAAATGTAATATAAAATATTCGTACGTATACATAATATACAAGTTGAAAAATATCCTTTCTTTATAAGGGTGTAATAAATTGAGTAGAAAATGCTTTTATAACTATAACTTTAAACACTTTTTAAGTTTCTTAAAATAATCGACATCAAAACTTATTTTGTTGTTTTTTTAGGAGTCACCAATAATCGACTTTTATCCCGAGGACTTCAAAATAGATCTTAATGGAAAGAAATTTGCTTGGCAAGGTGTTGCTTTATTACCATTCGTCGATGAACGTCGATTGTTTAAAGCATTAACACCATTTTACGATAAACTAACAAAAGAAGAAAGTAAGTATAAGTAATTAAAACAATAATAATATTCTCAACACTTAAATTATAAGATAAGTTAAACGTTAACATAAGTTAACATATAGTTTATTTTACTTGTATATCTTTAAATAAAATATTTGTTAATTTTTTCGAATTACATTGAATGGTATCAATATGGCGGTTATGATGTGATATGAAATGTACAATTCTAATTAATTTTTCATTTTATATATAAAATCATAGTATGTCTATCTATTCATTGTTCCTGGACTATTTTTTTAGAAGACAGTTTGTTTGGTAAAGTGAGTGCGGGTGCTATTATGTAAGACACATAGCACTGTATTTTAAATTTTTATTTGTAGTTATCCGAAACAGGATTTCATTTTTTTTACTACAGAGCAGTAATTGTAACGAAAACAATGATATGGTTCTGTTCTACTCTAAATTTGAAACGAGGAAATAAAGATCAGACGCACAAAGCTTAATCTACGAAATAGACTGGTGCCGAAACTGAACAAAGCAAATTAGCTATAATGTTTAATTTGTAGAAAGTGCTATACCACATTTTTTAAAAAATGTATTACTAAGTAATTTAAAACCTTTGTAGTTATTATTTTTCTGCTGAATATTCTACCTGATTCTTGAGTACATTAAACCAAGAGTATAAACGAAAGTTTTTGTTGGGAGTCTTTTATTAGAGAGGATAATATATATTTAGTTGACTCTGACAGTGATTCATTACCGGTATTTGTCCCAAATACGATGGTCTTTCACAACTTGTGATATAATGTTTTAGAGCCAGATTTACAAACCATATTTACCTGTTACGATAGTTGGCGATCTAATGATGTATTTATATTCTCTACCATTTGATTAGTTCTAATAATTATATTTATTTTTTCCGCGAATTGCAACTAATTCTATTCAATTCATAAGGTCTAGAGTTCATCTTCATTTTGTATGCGAAGTTATACCATAGAGTTGCATAATCCATAATTAAATGGTCAGTTGCAGTCATTCAAATACAAGCTTAAATTTTATTTAATAAAAATCCATAATTAAAATATAATTCATAATTAACTATGGTTGCTAAAATTGGCTCTATGTGTCTCATTGGGTCTAAACGTGGAATTACAAGTGGATATATTTTCGATATATTTTCGATAACAAAAATATAAATATATTGCTACATTTTTTTTCATATATTTAGTTGATTTATTAGTTTTTGTTAATAAATAAGTATTTTTTAAGGTCTTCTTAGTTTTGTAGTTTAATGTCCAAATAATACATAAAACTAATGTATTATAAAATTCACTTTATTTTGTATAATATGTAATTAGAATACATAATAAATTTTAATTTCTTTTTTTTAGTTCACCGTAATACGCAAGGTGAATGTCGTTTGTACATCGGAAGATTACAGAAACAGTTTGAAGTATTTAGACAACTATCTAAGATGAAAACAACAAATGCAAAAAAAGATAGTAAATCAATAGTAATAGATGGAGTACGTGGATTAGTTTTTCCAGCAACAGAAAATATTGATTTACAAGGGTATGTACTGACAAAAAATAAAGTGTTTTTTTGAGTGATAATGAGAATCATTTATTATATTATTCTTGTAAACATTAATTGAATATTAAATTTAATAGTGGTGTTTCTATGCCTCAAATAATTTAAGCAAAAGAAATTCAGCTTTTTTTAGAACATATCACATAAACTTAATTAAAAATATAATTAAAAAGGCATATTCTAAGCAAAAATAAAAATTTTTTATTGGTTGACTGTTATGTGTTATATGTTTCCGTATTTTAATTAAGCAGTAAAAATTAGCTCCAAATTTTATACTAGAGATAAATATTTAACTTTAACACGATACTCAAATAATTAGTAAACTATAGAGAGAAAACTTCTATACTTTGCTAATGTTTGATATTTGACCTGCTTTTTGATTGATTAATGCTTCCAAAAATTTTCTATCTATTATGAAGCGGTGGTATTTTTAATTAAAGCTAATAGAAAGCACAATACAATAGATTGTGGCGACCCAGTAGGCTATGCTTTTATTGAATTTAAAAAGGAAAATTCAATTTTAAATATTTTGAAGTTTCGGTTTGAGATTGTGGAAAACGTTTCCATTTTTTCTCTCGTGTAAAAAGTTTGATTAAAAGATTATTTACATCATAAATTTTGAGAGTTTTATTTATTAGCAAGGTTAATAGACCCTAGCTAAAAGATATTAAAAAAATTGATATAACGCTGTAGTGGATCTCTTCCATTTATGTTAACCATTTTATGTTGTTGTAACCCGCGGGGGCCTGTAAGCCAATAACATGAAAGGATATACAAGACGAATATATGGATGGGAAAGTGGGTGGGTAATAGTTGCAGGTGATGGTAGCGGAAAGAGGATAGGATGGATTGAGTGGGTGCGATTTAATTGAACATTAATCCGGGTCGAGACAGTGATATCTGGCAACTTCATTGGGGTGGGTCCAAAGGTCAATTAAACGGAGTTTTATGTGAGTTGTAGGACAGCAGAACAGATGGACGACGTCATGGGGAGTAGAGCTGTAGTTTGGGTACACATTAGGAATAGTCGTGCTTATGCATGACATGTAACTGTTTAGCACTCGGTTATATCCTGGTCTCAATTAAGCTAGGTAATTTCTTGCTGCACGGGGGAGACATCGTTCTTCCAGGGAGATGTTAGGCGAGGCCTGTTGAGAACCTTGTTGTCTGACAACTTTGGTCTCGAAAAGGATACTGCATCTGTGTAGAGGGCTATAAGTCCACGTTTATATTTGACCTTTGATTGGTGGTGATGAGGATTCTGAATTCACCGATATTTATGGGCAACGTCATAGATACCTTTTAGTCCAGGAAGTAAAGAGGGTGGCTCAGGATTTTTGTGATAGGTGAAGATATTATTATTATGCAAAAACGATAGAGGTGTCCTAACCTGTAGTTAAAATTGTGCAATCATCTGCATACGTTATGACTTTGACTCCTTCTGGGGAGTCCGCAAGAACGGACGGGTAATTCAGTAGTCCATTATTTCCATTTAACATAATTTAATATTTCATTCTTGCTAAACCGTAATCTTATCAGCTTGTATAATGGTTACACTTCTATAAGTTCAGCAAAGATTTTGTTGTTATGCCCTGAACTCGTTAATAATCTGGGTTTTACCTTGACTAATGCTGTTAGAAATAATTTTACAGATTTAAATTCTCAAGAGGTTGAGAACCTGTAAAACTGTAAAAATACTTTGATATAGTAGATATAAATTTTTTCTAAATTTTTTTTCAATATTAATGAAAAGAGAATCACTTCTTAAATGAAGTTCATTTTCTTCATGGACTCGATGTTATTAACTGAATCTACATATTAATTATTATTTCAATTTAAAAACGTTACATCAGTTATAGCAAAACATATAATTTAATTTTAATTTTTTTTATTTATTTCTGTTTTTATAGATGTTTAAGATCCCCAATTATTGGTCTTCACGATATAAGTGAAAACCAAGTTATTACTGTTTGTTTTAAAGATCCAGAATATGAAGAAGGATTCATTTTTTCAGCCGATCGTCTTCCAAATGCAATTGAACCTCCTACAGTTCTGGCTCCTGAATCAAGACCACACAACTACAATCCAGTAATTGGTAAGGCTTTATGTATAGTAAAATTAATACATTTCTTAAATCGATACAATAACTTCTTTTTTGTAATAGGATAGTAGGTTGCTTAAAATTGTGATTCCGTACGAATACTAACTAACCTCAAAAAAATTTTTAGTTTTATTTGTTTTTTTTCTTTTAATTTATGCAATTATTGAATTGAAAAATAAAATCATAGTAAAAATTAAATAATTCATTTATATGTGTTATATAATTTGAGATATAAAAATCTCACTATTATTTACAAAAGTAATTACTGCTTAGAATTGAAATTGGTACACTGATTTTCCCTATTATAATTTACATAAATTGATATCAATTAAGCAGTAACCTCATTCATTCCACTTCATGCAAGCAGTCAGCACTCAATTTAGCTCAAATATGTACATGAAAAAAGCAAAAGTCAATGCGCCAGCTACTAACAATAAAAACTCAAAAATATACCTATTTTTAATAAATAAAAGCAGGTAATAAAATTTTTAAAATTAATCTAACATACATCAATTAAAATATATTTACATGTACAATTTTCAGAAGATCAAAGTTATTCTTAAACATCAGGTTATCTTCCTTTAAAACTACCTTTCAATTAAAGGTATCAAGTTTTCATTCCGTATATTCAGATGTTTAATTCCGTAGTACGAAAACCAATTCCAAACCATTTATTTATTTGACAATTCCTTCAATACATATGCTATTGTATGGATCATTCGTTCTCTCACTACACGAATGGCATTCTGTTTTATCCGAACATATTGATTTTAGGCTCATCTGAGAATATCACTTTTATGGTATCAGTAACAGCCCAATTTTCAAATTACTCGACCTACTCCAAACGTTTGCGACGAATATTTGTTTTTAAAAGTGTTAATGAAGTTTACATGTCAACGATCAATTTAGTTGACCTGATGCAGGCATAGCCCACTATTTTCGTATTGATTTTGATTGTTCCTTCTTAACGCAATAGCGAATTATCTAGTTTGATTATTATGTTAGCAGAAAATTCTTGCTTCCTATGCAAATTTAGGGTTCTACCATATTTTCTAGGGTATGCGCATGTCTATGTTCCAAGTTCTGTTAAATTTATTGTAGTTATAGTTTCCATCAAGCCAATCTTGCATGTTTAATAGTCACTGTTCCGTTAGTGGCTAATTATTGCTCAGTAACACTTTCTAGAAAGGGTCAGAATAAAATTTTTTAGTTTTCTGGTGGTAAAGTTCCCAGATAGTTTTTGTTACCTTACTTGCGTTAAGCCTTTCCCATCTTTCCTTTGTACTTTTTGTTGCCGAATATACCATATCATTAAAAGTATGTTTCATATACATGTCAAGGTCAACCTGGCTGTTCAGTGTAATTGGATGCCAAGCTTAGAAAGCTAGTCAGCAAGATTTGACTTAATGGCCACTTTACGTTTTAACCCTAATGTTTCTATTACAATATTTGGTGTATCAATTTTTATTTAAAACTTTGTTGTAAATTTATTTAATACTATGTTATATATTTTATTGATTAACACTTATTGTAATTTGAATATAAAACGTATGTTATCGTCTAAATGGAATTATAAATTCCTATTGAATGCAACATATTCTGGAGAAGACATTTGTTCAAAAGACCGAGAGGTTTTTGTTCAGTTAAGGTTTTCGCAATACAAAACATTTTTTAGTGTGAGCACTTTTATCGAAATTGTATTGTATTTCCATTCTATTGCACAACAGTATGTGTGCAATGTTGTGAAATGTCCACGACTTCCTTATTTAGATAATATGTAACTGAAATTGAAGTTAAATATGTAGAATTACATTTCGAACTGCTCTAGTTCTCTAGGTTTTTCAGTATTCAATTTTTTTATCAACGCAAATCTCTCCTGACAACAATGTTATCTTTAATTATTAACATTATGTACGATATTGCAATAATGTTACTAATTACTGACTTATATACAGGCGGAAAAACGGTTTTGAAAACACACGCTAACTTAAAAATTCGATGCGCCAGTGAGTTTTCATCATGTTTGAACTATACATTCCATTTTGACTGGACTTAAAATCTAGATACAGTCAGTTGGTAAAAGTCTGAATGTTTTAAAAGACTATCTTAATCCAAAGTAGTTTAACAAAATTTATGTTAAATATCATTAATTATTTTTACACTTTTAAATGACTATTACTGTTGTTTTTATTAGATATACTATTAGTACAAAAGAGAAAATTTAATATATTACTTTGTTGATAAATTGATAATTAAAACATAATTATAAACATTCAATTACAGGTTTCAATAGATCGACAAATCGTGCACATTTAGCTCCAGCAGGTCATAGAATGGTTAATACAAGTGCTGGAATAAATAATAATTATTCCTCTCGTCAGGATTCCTATAAATCACAAGGAGGTGAGTTTTATAAACAATAATATAGAAACATATTTTTCATTTTAATTTCGCATTTCAAAACAAAGAATAATTTTATTCCCTACTAAAATTGCATATACCCTTTCTTTGATACAGCAAGTTGTGAAGTGAATATCGTGTTATTTTTTAACTTTACGTAGTTTTAATTATATGTTGTTTATGAATTCCGTTAATCTGTTACGCAAAAACATGAATGAAATATATGACCTAATATCTGTAAATAACATCCAGTTGAAGTTCTCAGTGCCAATTTTCATAACTTTGTGTATGATTCCAATGTGTCACGCAAACGCAAAGCTGTGTATAATACAATTGCATGAGAGAGAAAGTTGACACATTATCTAACAAACCTACATCTCTCGATGTTTAGCTATGAAGCCTAATTGATGTTCCGGAATTATTTCATTAGCTGAGAGTATTGATATTATTTTTGCTATTAGCAGCTTTTCAAATATTTTTGATAATACTGGAAGGACGCTAATTGGTTTGTAACATTCTACTTTGGTTTTGTCCTTCTCAGCTTTAAGTATCATTGTTATTTGTGACATTTTCCAAAGTTTGGGATATTATATAAATGCCTGAGATGTAAAATGGCACATTGTGGTAACTGTTTCATCATTGCAACTGAGATTTTATAATCTTTTATAATTTTAATGATATTTTCTAATTTAAAGATAAGTGGGCTGCTCGAGGGATGTAGGTTTGTTATTGGTAAAGATATGTTATTTGAAGCATCATTTGGAGTAAATTCATTTTTCAAGTGTTTTACAAATATGTCCCCTTTCTCAGAGTCACTTCGTGCCCAGTCACAATTTTCTAGTCTAAAAGGAGATTCATGCTGGATAGGCTGTTGAGGTACTTTGTTGCTTTCCAAAGTGAATAGTCAGTTTGTTCATTAGGTGCCAAATTGTATAGAAAATTGTCTAGGGATTTTTAATGTATTTCCGTTAATGCATATTTGAGTTCAGTAGTACATTTAGCAAATAGAACTTTATGTTTTCGGGATCTATGTCGTTGCCATAGTCTTCTAGCTTTCCTCTTCCGTTGTAATATTGTTTTTGTCACACCAATTTTTTGGGTTGTTTTTTCAGTTCTTATCGAAGCTACTTCAGCACCCGTTAAGATTACTTTAGAAAATTGGTTAGCACTAGCATCAATTTCATTATTCTCTTTTAAAGAAGCATATTGTGGCATATGGCAAGAAACATTTACGAAATTTTAACCAGTTTATATATTTCGTTAGACTTTGCGTTTGGATAGTTCTATTCTGTTGACATTGTACTGTTATTATTATTGGTGAGTGGTCTGATGACAGTTCAACTGATGGAAATGCGGTGATTGTTGATAGTTTAATATCTTTGCTTAGGCCAAAGTCAATAAAATCTGGGACTTTTTGTCGATCAGAAGGCCAGTAAGTTGGCTGTCCAGTTGAAATTACATCGAGATCTTCACTTTTCACAACTCCTAGAAGTTTCCGTCCTCTTGGTGTTATTAGTCTTGAACCCCAGAATGTGTGCTTGGCATTATCAAAACTGATACTAGTTCCCTCTGAGGATCTGGGAACTTCTACATGTGTTTATTAGAAAATAAACTATAAATGAACATAATTTCAGTGTGTACCTAGTTTCAATTACAAATCCATCGATTTGTCAATGGGTGGTAATGGTGTTATGAAACTAATTTAATCATTTTTGTGGGACCTAGGTGAATGAAGAGTGAAAATCGCCTTCTCATCAAAAGCTTTAAAACTTAAACTATTGAAAATAAGAAATACTGGTTTATAATTTTTCTTCTCACTCGGTTTTAAATAGTTATCATTTTTGTTTATACACGTACCGTTCTCTGTCAAAATAATAAAAAGTTAAAACATTTTTTTAATTATTACTGTGCTTATTTTTAATAAAATAATTTGTGTTAAAATAATATGTGTAAATGTAACACATAAAAAATAAAAATGTTTTTTTAAATAAAAATTACACTTATAAATTTATGTTTTGATTTTTGTATTAAATTAATTAGGCCCAACGGGACGAACGCATAGGGTCGATTAAACACTTTTTAAGTTTCTCTATATACAGTCAAACTTCCATAACTCGAACTTCTATAATTCGAATTTTCTATAACTCGAACCAAAAACAGTGCACCAAGGTTTTAGAGAGCAAATTACATGCAATTCTGTTTCCATAACTCGAACTTCTATAACTCGAACAAAAATTTTGTTCCGTGCCGATAGGAATATGGGAAAGTGCATTCTATAAGTCGGATTTTTGTTTTAAGTTAAATGCATTTTGCTGTTAGCGGAGATCCCTTTTTCCAAACCAAATATTTAATTTTTTCTTTCTTATGTTGCTTATTTGTGCCAATGCCAGTCGCTATCAGCGTGGTTTACAGTAAATAAAATAACTTCCAATGCTACTCTTAACGATTATATTGAGCTTGACAATGAAATTTGTACATCAAGCTTTCCTAAATATAACGATATTACTGAGCATTATAGCTCTGAATTAGTTCATCCAAACCTAAGCGCAACGGAAAGTGATGATGAGGGTTCGGTGGATGTAATTGTTTATCAGCCTTCCAAGAATGAAGTAGAAGATTTATTCAAAATTCAGAATTTGTATTTCCAAACGCATGATACTACAAATGATGATCACTATAACAATATGAAAAAAGTGGAATCTCTTTTTATTG